GGACATGAGTTCAGATCGTCGCAGTGAGATTGTCAGCTCTGAGACGCACTCTGTCTGATAAAAAAACCGCCTGAGTCCCAGTGGTCACTGCACTGGATCCGCCTGGGAGGCGATGGCACACTCGAGACCCAGACCGCGTAGCGCAGATTCGTGAGTCACAGGAGGGGTCTCCTTGTCCAGCCTCGCCACCCAGCTCTAATACTGCAAGTGCTCCACTGAGTGACCAGCAGAACGCCTTGGCTGAAATAGACCAGCGGCTAGGATCTCAGCCAAGGCCTCACCACCCGCTGACGATAAAAACCCTGACTATGGCACTGTCATCCCGCCTTATCAGCAACACTTTGGCCGGCTCAGTCTTTTCATGCCCACTGAGACCACCTGCTCATGATGCAACCTCACGTCAACCATCTGGCTGTCTGCAACGTCACTGAGGCTGACCGAATGGGCTAGATTGTCTCGCTGGGTCTGTCGCTGAGATAAAAAACCTTTTGAAATCCCAAAGACTGCAGACGTGACAGCTCCATCCGTCCGCACACGTCAAACACCACTTCAACAAACCAAATCAACTCGATGTTTGAGGTATTGATTTTACTGAAAATTGTACGCTAATAGGATTCTGTGTTTCAATATGTGATACAGCCTACTCTCTTCTAAATACACATTGAAGGGACAGCTAGATCGCAACTGTATTTCGTTGGTTGAGACTGACAGCTTCGATGATAAAACCTTCATGACATTTGTAATGTGAATTGTTTGAAAGTTTAAATCGTATCAAGACGGTCCAGACGCCAGGCCCCGCACTACACTTAGCCGAGACGTCTTCTGAAAAATCCGCTATCTGAGCGATCATTTACTGAAACCAGACCGATTACAGTATTTTTCACTGTTCGTCTGAGACCACTTACCGACGATAAAAATCCCGGTTCATAAGATTTTACCAGTTGCCAACCATTTTTGAGTTAGTTCGGTACTTCGCTTCTCAAAACGTCACGCCAACAGGAATCTGCCTTCTGTCGCCATCGGCATTTGTAATAGTTGGTTTTGCGCGATTCAGAACGTCAGATTTTTTCGAATCAGACCGCCGCGCGATTTTTTCAGGCTTTTCGCGTTCGTCGTCGAGATCGACGATGTCCTTTCGCGGATCAACAATAGTTAACTTGAAAGCGAATGAAATTCTTTGACCAGATTTTTCGTGTTTTTCCCGCAGTTGGTCGTGCTGAGGACAATTCCTGCTCCATGATGTTCGGTAAAAATCTCTGGTCACTGCAACAGCCGGGCAACCACTGAGCACTGTAACTTGCTCAGGACCCGCGGGCTGGGATTCTGGGTCCCTAGTCTCAGTCACACCCACTTGGCTCCCACTCAAAACCCCTGAGGCAACCCCAGCATTTGCAAGACTGAACGCAACCCACTTCAGACCGCTACTAGGACTTCAAATTCTCAGGCAAGCCATGCCGCTGAGACTACCTTAGCCCCATGAGGTAACCAGTCTCCATCTAAAAACAGCTGGGCACCATCTTGAGTGATCTGGAATTAGAACGTCAGATTTACCAGGACCACGCGCAGATTTTTCAAATAAGAGGACTAATTTTGCTGATGATAAAATCTGAAAAAACCTTCAGGGAATGAGTCCTGAGGACAACGTCGATTTGTCTGACAGCGCGCTAGGGCCGTGGCCCGCAGTCTGGTCTGAGACTGGCGCCAGATGATTTAATCCTTCAGGGTGTCCCTGAGTGAACAGAACAGACTTACTGTGGACCAGACGACTCCTTCTTCACAGTCTGTCGCTGAGACATGTCTGATGACAAAACCCCAGGTCACAATCAGCACAGTACAAACAACAAGACGCTTGATTTTTCGTACTGCTCAGTCAGCCACCACTGTGCCGATCTGTCCCTGCTCACTCCCAGGTGCTTGCAACAGCTGCAACCACTGAGTGAATTGCAACGTCAGATTGTAATTGTGACCGCTGCTGTTCGTGCTCATCAGGTCTGTACCAGGAGGATACTTGTCCTCTGTCTGTAATCCCAGCCTGACTGAGGCCCAAGGTGGCCACTGCACAGCTGAACCATTTCTGAGTGACTGACGTCAGGATTTTACTGGGTAATGTGACGCTGCGCTGACTCAAAAACAAGGTGACGCTGAGACATTCTGCTCGACAGACGTCTTCCAGTCTCATTGCAACACTCTGAGCGAATTGCAACGTCAGATTCTGTACCAGACCGCCGCCGGCTGACTCTTTTCTCAGCTAGTTTCCGCAGGTTCAGTCGTCTCAGACTGGGTCTTACCGATGATGGTCCTTCTCCAGGCTATTTGTAACAGCCAAGGCGACTGCTCTCTCCCGTCAGATTTTTGGCTAAACAGACACAAGTAGTCTAGGATCCCCAGTCACACTGGCTGACATCAAAAATCCCTGAAACCTCCAGCACAGCTGGGCACCACTTTATCGTACTTTACTGAGCTGTACTTTTTCAAGGTCAAGATCACTATCCCTGCTTCCTATACTGTAAACTACACTATTTTTATACTGTAGCAGATTGTCGAAAGACCACACATTATACAAGAGTTCAAACGTTGACTAGCTGATTTATAGTAACTGTAGTATCTACAGTTACACCACGTCAGATTTGCTGAACCAGGACGCTGCTCTTGGGATCTTCGCTCTTTCAAATGAGGACTGTCTGTTTTCGATGATATGAATATTTAACATTTATCGTATTTTGTCAAGATCGCTTGTGGATTAAAAAGACAGGACTGTTCTGTCCTGCTGTCCCACCACGTGGCAGGTCCCGCTGATGAACCCAGATTGCCGCTGTCACAGTCGTGACACTCTGCCCAGTCGGTCGATGACTAATTTGCTGACACACTCTATCCACCTTCCGCTGCTGACTGCACAATGCCCGCCTCTTTGGTCACTCAGATCACGCTGTAGGTGATTTTTCAAAAATGCTGAGACTGATCAGCCGACCCTTCAGTATAACATTTTTATGAACATCAAATGCAATGTTGATCAATTTACTGATGATGTTAAAATAATCATCTGAGTGAATTGTCGAACAGATGTGAAATGATCGCGTTTATTTCAGTGCTCAAGAGTTCAGTCGTTATATTTGTAACAGCACATCACGAGCGAACGTCGCGCCGTAGATCACGCACGCCAAATTTTCAAGACATCCAGATGGTCCCCACCCACACGTCAGACGACGCGTTCGCCACGCCGGCGACCACGCGCGCCAGGCCCAGTGCCCATGCTGCACCGAGTCACTTACCGAAATGGTCGTCATCACAGATGCACCGACCGGCAACCTCAGTAACAATAGCGGCGCCCGCGTTGTAACAGACCGCGTCGTTCGCACAACTAACAGCTAAGACCATTTCGAGCGAACAACATCGTTCGCCGGGCCAGAAATGCACAAGGAGCCTTTCAAAAATTTTCCCGTCGTGGTGCACTCGCCCGCCGCCACCCGAAAACCCAGCATTGCAACAGCAGCTGACCATTTCTGGTGCTGACACGCTCACTCTTTTTTGCCGTACCAGACCCTAGTGGACGCCTCTTTCACTGTCTCTCGGCCTGAGACTGGTCTCAGCCGATGATGTCCCGGTCTCAGCTGGTCACCACTGCATCTGAACGTCCTTGTGCTCTTGAGACCAGATCACGCGGTGACTTGTACAGGTGTCTGTCAGGATACATCATCCCCGCGCACAGCCTCTGCCTTCTAGTCTCATTTAATACACATTTTCAGAACTGTCAGATTTTGTCGAAACCAGGACCGCGTGCCAGGATTTTCAAAAAAGGCCTGCAGAAGAACAGGAGACTATCCGTGACATCCAAAACCCCCAGGAAACCTGAAATCATTTCGAATGAACCGAAGAACAACGTGACTGGCTGCACCACACCGCGTCTGGTCTCTTCAATCGTCTGAGACTACTACGACAGAACCACCTGTTTGAGTACTACACGTCGTGACCTTGCCGAGTACCTGTCAACATAGCTAATTGTGGAGGCAGATTCCGTGACTGCTCTGTCTCATCAAAAACCCAAACATTTGCAACTGGCACCACTGGGCTGGGCCAGATCGCGCTGATTTCAGTGCTCGCTCACCGCTGGGAGGCTGACAGCCGATACAGTCTCTGAAAAAATCCCAGGCTACTTGCACAGCTGCACCACTCAAAGGACACGCCACAAACAGATCACAAGGCTAGGCTTTTCAAAAAAAATATTTGCAGGCATATCCCAGATGTTCCTACTCACTAACTCAGAACATTTCTGAATGAACGATTTGCTGTAACATCACACAATGTTAAGATTTTTATCAAGAATAAACGCTGCGACTCTAGCCTCTGATGACAAAAATCCCCGGTCTCTTGGTTAATTGCAGCACTGCTGAGTCTGACGCGCGGCTTAGGAATTTTTCAGTGCTCACAGGTCACTCAGGAGCATCCCACTTTTCTATTGCAACACACATTTGAGGAATAGCAGAACGCCAGCATTACGGTGGACCGCCGGATATTCGGCCACCAGCGCATCCCGCACCCGCGGCTTCACCAACCTTCACTTCGTACCAGTTCTGATGATCTTCATTACATTTCAACAGTTGGCACGCGATAACAACACCAGACTGCCGAAACCAGACCGCGCTTCAGTGATATTCCTTCAGCCCGTCGCCACATCACCGATAAAACCCGTCGCCGCGAATTGTAGAACGTCGCGCATGTATTCACGCGCAAGGACGCCACTGTTGTCAGGAGGGGCAGATCGTCCCGCGATGTTCACCAGGCCGGTAATTCGTAACAGCTAAGACCAGCTGACTGTCAGACCGCCGATTTGCCGAAACAGGACGCGCTTAGGATTTTCGTCACACAACAGGCATCCTGCGATGCTTCGTCTAAAAACCGGCATATTTCGAACAGCTACACCACATGAACAACGCCAGATTTTGCCGTAATAGATCGCCGCGCTTGTGATTCAGCCACGTCTTGTACCGTCGCTGACTACTTACCGATGATAACCTTCGCCATATCAGCCAAGACCATTTGGCGAATTGCGAACGTCGCATTTCCGCCGATCGCCGCGTCATTTTCAATTTTTTCGTAGCCGTCGCTGCGACTGATTCGACGATGAAAACCTTCTTTTCGGTACCCCAGGGAGTACGCTGGCACGAGTGGTTTCGCATCGCCAGATGCTGAAACGCTAAGCTAGGGATGACAAGAGATCGACTTGAATGATGATAAAACCCTGAAAACCTATAAGGCTCTTTGGAAAGGAAAACGACGCTGCGCCCGCTATCTACCCAGATGTCTCTGCCTGAGCCCAGTGAGATCTTTACAATACGTGGGATCTTTCAGCCTTTCCCCAGGCCAACCTGATCCACTCACTCGGTACCTCCAGGTGGATTACTGCAACATCGTGAACCGCTCTGACTGACTCTCATCACCCTTCTCTCAAGACCCGCGCTGGGTGATTCTTTCAGTCACTGTCTCTCTATCTGGGGTAAATGATTAGGTCACACCATCCCAGCAACGCCGCAGCCGAGCTAGACTACGCGCTCAGGATTTTCAAAGTTTTTCTCAAAATGCTGAGACTGACTGTTTGATGATAAAAAACGCTGAGTACTAACAAAGTGACACCACTGAGTGAGATTTTGTGCCGGAAACACAGCCGGCGCACGCCAGTGCCGTTCGTCTGAGACTACTTAGCTTCACGATAAAACCTCAATAAGACCGCCTTAATAACGATTTTTTGGCTGAATACAATGTTTGTATCTTCGTGGTCACCATCATGACTCTGTACTCACATTGTCTTCTGTGGTGCAGATTTGCCGAAATAGCGGCTTAATAAGTTCGCATATCTCGTGTGTGCTGTCCTGCAGCTCCAGCCTCACCTAAAACCTGCCGGCTTTGCAACTCAGTCGCACACTGCTCACCACGAGTCCGCGCGCAGTGATCTTCAAGTTTCTGCTCAGCTGAGGACCACCCAGCCGATGATGTCTGAGGTCCTCATGGTCATCGGGTCACTCACACCGCACATCGCACTTGTTTGTTCAGATCTTGGGGAGCTGGGCTGCCTAGTCTTTGAGCCACCCTGTTGCAAATGCTCCCCTGAAAGGTTTTTCAGAAGGTTTCTTATCATTGGAAACAGAATTAGTCCTCAAAGACTGAACTTGAGGAAAAACTTTTTTTTGAAAAAATCCCTAAGCCGCGCGGTCACAATTTCAGCAAAAATCTGACGTTCTGCAATTCACTCAGAAATGGTGCCCAGCTGTTGCAAATGCTTCCCTGAAAGGTTTTTCAGAAGGTTTTTTATCATCGGAAACAGAATTAGTCCTCAACGACTGAACTTGAGGAAAAACTTTTTTTTGAAAAAATCCCTAAGCCGCGCGGTCACAATTTCAGCAAAAATCTGACGTTCTGCAATTCACTCAGAAATGGTGCGCAGCTGTTGCAAATGCTCCCCTGAAAGGTTTTTCGGTGGAAACAGAAGGCTTTTTATCACAGGACCAGGAATCTGCCCTACACAATTTAACCTGCGGAAAAACTTTTTTTTGAAAAAATCCCTAAGCCGCGCGGTCACAATTTCAGCAAAAATCTGACATCTGCAATTCACTCAGAAATGGTGCCCAGCTGTTGCAAATGCTCCCTTGAAAGGTTTTTCAGAAGGTTTCTTATCATCGGAAACAGAATTAATCCTCAACGACTGAACTTGCGGAAAAACTTTTTTTTGAAAAAATCCCTAAGCCGCGCGGTCACAATTTCAGCAAAAATCTGACGTTCTGCAATTCACTCAAAAATGGTGCCCAGCTGTTGCAAATGCTCCCCTGAAAGGTTTTTCAGAAGGTTTTTTATCATTGGAAACAGAATTAGTCCTCAAAGACTGAACTTGAGGAAAAACTTTTTTTTGAAAAAATCCCTAAGCCGCGCGGTCACAATTTCAGCAAAAATCTGACGTTCTGCAATTCACTCAGAAATGGTGCCCAGCTGTTGCAAATGCTCCCCTGAAAGGTTTTTCAGAAGGTTTTTTATCATCGGAAACAGAATTAGTCCTCAACGACTGAACTTGAGGAAAAACTTTTTTTGAAAAAATCCCTAAGCCGCGCGGTCACAATTTCAGCAAAAATCTGACGTTCTGCAATTCACTCAGAAATGGTGCGCAGCTGTGGCAAATGCTCCCCTGAAACGGTTTTCGGTAGAAAGAGAGGGCTTGTTTATCACAGGACCAGGAATCTGTCCTACACAATTTAACCTGCGGAAAAACTTTTTTTTGAAAAAATCCCTAAGCCGCGCGGTCACAATTTCAGCAAAAATCTGATGTTCTGCAATTCACTCAAAAATGGTGCCCAGCTGTTGCAAATGCTCCCCTGGAAGGTTTTTCAGAAGGTTTTTATCATCGGAAACAGAATTAGTCCTCAACGACTGAACTTGAGGAAAACTTTTTTTGAAAAAATCCCTAAGCCGCGCGGTCACAATTTCAGCAAAAATCTGACGTTCTGCAATTCACTCAGAAATGGTGCCCAGCTGTTGCAAATGCTCCCTGAAAGGTTTTCGGTGGAAACAGAAGGCTTTTTATCACAGGAACAGGAATCTGCCCTCCACAATTTAACCTGCGGAAAAACATTTTTGAAAAAATCCCTAGCCGCGCGGTCACAATTTCAGCAAAAATCTGACGTTCTGCAATTCACTCAGAAATGGTGCCCAGCTGTTGCAAATGCTCCCCTGAAAGGTTTTTCAGAAGGTTTTTAACATCGGAAACAGAATTAGTCCTCAACGACTGAACTTGAGGAAAAACTTTTTTGAAAAAATCCCTAAGCCGCGCGGTCACAATTTCAGCAAAAATCTGACGTTCTGCAATTCACTCAAAAATGGTGCCCAGCTGTTGCAAATGCTCCCCTGAAAGGTTTTTCAGAAGGCTTTTTATCATCGGAAACAGAATTAGTGCTCAACGACTGAACTTGCAGGAAAACTTTTTTGAAAAATACCTAAGCCGCGCGGTCACAATTTCAGCAAAAATCTGACGTTCTGCAATTCACTCAAAAATGGTGCACAGCTGTTGCAAATGCTCCCCTGGAAGGTTTTTCAGAAGGTTGTTTATAATCGGACACAGAATTAGTCCTCAACGACTGAACTTGCGGAAAAACGATTTTTTGAAAAAATCCCTAAGCCGCGCGGTCACAATTTCAGCAAAAATCTGACGTTCTGCAATTCACTCAGAAATGGTGCCCAGCTGTTGCAAATGCTCCCCTGAAAGGTTTTTCGGTGGAAACAGAAGGCTTTTTATCACAGGACCAGGAATCTGCCCTCCACAATTTAACCTGCCGAAAAACTTTTTTTTGAAAAAATCCCTAAGCCGCGCGGTCACAATTTCAGCAAAAATCTGACGTTCTGCAATTCAGTCAGAAATGGTGCCCAGCTGTTGCAAATGCTCCCCTGAAAGGTTTTTCGGTGGAAACAGAAGGCTTTTTATCACAGGAACCAGGAATCTGCCCTCCACAATTTAACCTGCGGAAAAACATATTTGAAAACAACCTAAACCCGCGCGGTCACAATTACAGCAAAAATCTGACGTTCTGCAATTCACTCAGAAATGGTGCCCAGCTGTTGCAAATGCTCCCCTGAAAGGTTTTTCAGAAGGTTTTTTATCATCGGAAACAGAATTAGTCCTCAACGACTGAACTTGCGGAAAAACTTTTTTTGAAAAAATCCCTAAGCCGCGCGGTCACAATTTCAGCAAAAATCTGACGTTCTGCAATTCACTCAAAAATGGTGCCCAGCTGTTGCAAATGCTCCCCTGAAAGGTTTTTCAGAAGGTTTTTTATCATCAGAAACAGAATTAGTCCTCAACGACTGAACTTGAGGAAAAACTTTTTTTGAAAAAATCCCTAAGCCGCGCGGTCACAATTTCAGCAAAAATCTGACGTTCTGCAATTCACTCAGAAATGGTGCCCAGCTGTTGCAAATGCTCCCCTGAAAGGTTTTTCGGTGGAAACAGAAGGCTTTTTATCACAGGAACAGGACTCTGCCCTCCCCAATTTAACCTGCGGAATAACATTTTTGAAAAAATCCCTAAGCCGCGCGGTCACAATTTCAGCAAAAATCTGACGTTCTGCAATTCACTCAGAAATGGTGCCCAGCTGTTGCAAATGCTCCCCTAGAAAGGTTTTTCGGTGGAAACAGAAGGCTTTTATGACAGGACCAGGAATCTGCCCTCCACAATTTCACCTGCGGAAAAACTTTTTTTGGAAAAATTCCCTAAGCCGCGCGGTCACAATTTCAGCAAAAATCTGACGTTCTGCAATTCACTCAAAAATGGTGCCCAGCTGTTGCAAATGCTCCCCTGGAAGGTTTTTCAGAAAGTTTTTTATCATCGGAAACAGAATTAGTCCTCAACGACTGAACTTGCGGAAAAACTTTCTTTGAAAAAATCCCTAAGCCGCGCGGTAACAATTTTAGCAAAAAATCCGACGTTCTGCAATTCATTCAGAAATGGTGCCCAGCTGTTCCAAATGCTCTCCTGAAAGTTTTTTCGGTGGAAATAGAAGGCTTTTTATCACAGGACCAGGAATCTGCCCTCCACAATTTAACCTGCGGAAAACCTTTTTTTTGAAAAAATCCCTAAGCCGCGCGGTCACAATTTCAGCAAAAATCTGACGTTCTGCAATTCACTCAGAAATGGTGCCCAGCTGTTGCAAATGCTCCCCTGAAAGGTTTTTCAGAAGGTTTTTATCATCGGAAACAGAATTAGTCCTCAACGACTGAACTTGCGGAAAAACTTTTTTTGAAAAAATCCCTAAGCCGCGCGGTCACAATTTCAGCAAAAATCTGACGTTCTGCAATTCACTCAAAAATGGTGCCCAGCTGTTGCAAATGCTTCCCTAGAAGGTTTTTCGGTGGAAACAGAAGGCTTTTTATCACAGGACCAGAATCTCCCCTCCACAATTTAATCTGCGTAAAAACATTTTTGAAAAAATCCCTAAGCCGCGCGGTCACAATTTCAGCAAAAATCTGACGTTCTGCAATTCACTCAAAAATGGTGCCCAGCTGTTGCAAATGCTCCCCTGGAAGGTTTTTCAGAAGGTTTTTTATCATCGGAAACAGAATTAGTCCTCAACGACTGAATTTGCGGAAAAACTTTTCTTTGAAAAAATCCCTAAGCCGCGCGGTAACAATTTTAGCAAAAAATCCGACGTTCTGCAATTCATTCA